CCCCGGCGTCCTCACTGCCACTGCGAGGAGCTGCCCCTGTCCCTAACGCCCCGTCCCTCTGCTGTCCCCAGCTCGAGGGGCTCTGCTCCTTCCTCCAGCTCCCCACGTGCCCGGAGCAGCTCCTGGTGCGGTTCTGTGGCTGGCTGCTGGCTCTCAGCCCTGACCTCAGCTACGGCAGTGCGGCTGTCCTGGCCCAGCAGCTCTTCCTGGGGCGAGTAAGTGTGAGGAACCAGAGGTTCCCTGCGCCCCCTTTCCCTCCCCTCCCTGCCCATCTCCTGCCTTCTCTGTCCGTAGGTCCTGGCCCTCGCCCAGCCGCCCTCTCGCCACCTCCTGGCTGCCCTCGCCTCGTTTTGCTCCAAGTATTCCCAGCCCTTCTGCCGGGTCCTGGTGGCCGCAGTCCTGCGGGAGCCTGGGGGAGGTGCGGGGGGCTCACAGAGGGCACGGCTGCTTCTGGGGGCAGCTGAGGACCTGGAGGGGGGCTGTGGGCTGCACCCAGTGGGGAGGGGAGCCTCAGCTGTCTCCTGGGAGGTGTTTAGCACTCAAAACACATGTTAGGAACCATGGAGGAATGGTGCTGGTTTTATCTGGGTGGGTGAATGCTTGGATGGAGATGGGTTTACAGATGGAGAGGGTGGGGAGGCCAGGCTGGTTTCCAGCAGTAGTTCTCCCAAAGGACAGCTGCCATCCCTCCGTGGATTAGAGGCCTCCTGCCAGCTCCTAATGTCGGGGCCAGAACTGCCCTGGGGTGGCACAAGAAGAGGGTCCCCTCCACAGCAGCACCCCCTTTTCCTGGGGACTGGTGCTAATTAATCCCTTGCTGCAGACGAGCAAAGGAAGCTGGATTATCCTGAACAGCAGAAGCGAGCACTACGTAGCTCCTGGGTGTCCCAACTGGGTGGTGCCCCTCTGTGGAGGGGTACTGGGAGGGCTTGGGTTCATCCCCATGGATCTGGCAGCCTCTGGAGCCTGTCTTCCTTCTGCCTTGCCCGTGCAGGTGCTGAGCAGACCAAGCTGGTGTGTGAGCTCGTGGAGGAGTGCCTGGAGCCAGACTGCGTGCGGCTGGTGCTGAGGTGAGGAGGGGCAGGGGGTGAGAAGGGGCAGGGTGAGAGCTCTGCTTCAGCCCTTGTGCCTCAGCTGTGACAGCTCTGGCTGGCTCCAGCCGCTCAGGAGCACCAGCAAGGCCAAGTGAGCATCTCATCTCCTCTTCACCATCCTCTGCAGCCAAGTCCTGGAGGTGCCTTTGTCAGAGAAGCTCCTGCCAATAGTGCAGGCTGTGCTGGGGCGGCAGGTGAGGGCACCCCCCTTGTCCCCTGGGTTTCCTTCCTGGCTCCAGCGACGCTGGAGCAAGGACCAGGTCCCCTCCCTGCTCATGGCTCTCTTCCAGGAGGTGCTGCCCCCCAAGCTCTTTGACCTCTTGGTCCAGACCCTGTGCCAGCAGGCTCCAGCCTTCGCCACATCCCTGAATTATGCCAAGCTGGTGACAGCCGTGCTCACCCTCTACCAGAGCCAGGTTAGCAAGACCAGGCCTGGGTCCTGCAGATAAACCAGGGCTACTGCTGACCCTGGGCTCAAGTTGCACCAGGGGAGGTTTCAGTTGGATATTAGGAAGATTTTTCTTTCCTGACAGTGGTGAGGCATTGGCCCAGGCTGCCCAGGGAGGTGCTGGAGTCCCCATCCCTGGAGGGGTTCAAAAAACATGTAGATGTGGCACTTGGGGACATGGTTTAGTGGTCATGGGAGTGTTGGGTTGATGGTTGGACTTGATGATCTTAGAGGTCTTTTCCAAACTTAATGATTCTATGATGCAGGACCTGGCCCAGGGGGTCTTGGGTGGGCTCCTGGCAGTGCAGCTCCCTGAGGTCCTTGGTCTTCTCCATCCCAGGTCACCCCAGCCCACCGGAGCAGTCTGGCTGCTGCTCTGGACCGGAGCAACGCGGCTCTGAAGAAATCACTGCAGGCAGTGCTGGAAGGAGCCAGGTGAGATGGATGCTGTGGCCTCCAGGCTGGGCTGGAGGGGTCTCTCATGGGTGGATGGCAGCTTCCATGTAGGAACAGGGCTGCCCAGGGTGGTGGGAAACCACCAAGTGCTGGCAGAAGCTGTGCTGTAGTGTGGTTGGCAATGGCTTTCCCTTTTCTTGACTCCTCTTTCTCTCTCCTTCCCCTAGGTGAGGGAACCATAAGGTGATGCCTTCCTTGGGCAGAGGATGCTCGTTGGGCAGTGGTAGCTGCACCCCAATCCCTCACTGGAGTTCACCACCAGCATGATGGTCACCCAGTGAGCATGGGCTAGAGTGCCCAGGGCCTTGCAGCAGCACCTTGCACTGGGCCAGCCTGGACAATTGCTGGGTGACACCACCCCAGCCCCACACACCCCCTGAGGTGTGAAGATGAGTTTCCTTGGTTAAACAATGAATACGTTTCCAGTCATCTGTGTCTGGTCTGTCTCTGGGCCACCTCAGACCCCCTACTGCCTCCATCCCCACCTCTCCTAGGATGGTGGGAGGGGCTGGGCTGCAGAACATCTTGGGGCAGTGAATCTTGTCTCCTCTGCCAGCCTTTGGTGGTGTGGACATCTCAGAGCCCTGGGTTGTCCCACAGAGCACTCAGCCCGTGGGCGTGAGCATCGCCTGGAGCAGGGTGGTTACATAAAGGTGACTCTTTTGGAAATGTTTTGTGCCCAAAAGGTTGCATTTTTTTAACCAGGAAGACAAGAAAGCCATTACTTGTGTGTTATTGATGGATTAGTGCTGGCACACAAGAACTTGAAGAGCACCTGAGGATGCTGCAGGGATCCTGGGCCCAGAGCTGGCTGCTGCATGCCCTCAGAGGAACCATTGCTCATTTTCCCTTACAAAAAAAGAGGGTTCTGTTGAGCAGGTCCCCATGGTACCCAGCTGGGCAGCGTGATGCTGCAGAAGCAGCAGAAGCCCTTCTCTGCTTTCAGATCCCCTTTGGCTGGATGAGTGTGCTGGATGACGTGATGTCTGCTGCCCTGCACCAGCCTCTGTGGTGGTTGTAGATCTGAAGAGCTTGACTGAGCATCCATGTCCCTCATCAGCCTGGTCTGCAGGTGTCCCTGCTGGTTTAACCAACCTCAATCCACTGCCTGTTTAAAAAGGGAGCAACACAGCTGCTGTATTTCCTGCACCCCTGTTTTGCTTCTCATGGCCAAGAACCAGGATGCCTTCCCAGGATGAGCTCTCCTGAAGGTTGCTCCTTCCTGACTCCAGGTCTGCACAAAGCTGGCAAACCTCCCTCTCTCCTTGCTCACAAGGGCAGCCTGGTAGCCAAGGCAAGGAGTCATCTTGTCCAAAACTTTTATTTTTCAAGTGGTTTTCCAATGTCGTGGTGGCCCAGAGCACCTGGCAAGCAATGCTGGATGGTGGAGTTCACAGGTCCTTAATTCTTATTGAGCAATGTGCTAAGGGCATTCAAGACAGAAATGAGCACCTGGCAAGCAATGCTGGATGGTAGAGTTCACAGGTCCTTAATTCTTAATGCCCTTAGCACATTGCTCAATCAAGACAGAAACTGATTTGAGGACAATAATTCTGGACCAGGCTTAACATCATGGTTTTATCTTGGTTTGAAGGAGCACGAGTGGCATGTTTTGTACATTCCTCTCCAAGGGTGAAGCTGATTTCTGGGTGGTGCAGCAGTGATCTGCTGGATCATTTATCTGGGCTGCTGGGATTTATAAATCTCATGATGCAGGAGAGTGGGGTTCAAATGGTTAAACTTGAATTTTCTGCTTTAGATCTGCCTTTTTTTTTTCCTCTTCTGCCACAGCCTGCAAAGGGCCCTGCTGTGTGTCACACTTCTAATTTTCAATGTGGTGATGATGACACTTCCCAGTGCAAGGTGTTTTGTGTTGCACTATTAAAAAGTGCTTCTATAACATCATGGTTATCTAATTTCTATCCTGTTATCCTTGAAAACACCCCCTGGAAACCTCATCTGGGAGCCTTTTGGTTGTTGGACTGGAAAGAAAAGGGTGGGAGAGAGTGGATGGTCTCAGAGGCAGATAGTGGTAGAGTTTTAATGGAGGTTTTGGAGGCATTCAGGAGCTATTTAAGAATTCATAAACATTTACATCTGTAAGGGCAGAAGAAGGATTAAAACGTGTAGGTGATCAGAGGCAGATAGTGGTACAGTTTTAATGGAGGTTTTGGAGGCATTCAGGAGCTATTTAAGAATTCATAAACATTTACATCTGTAAGGGGAGAAGGATTAAAACATGTAGGTGAGACACGTTCCTGCTTTAGATTTGCTCATTAATGCTTAGATCCAGCCAGAGGAATGAAACCAAAGCACTAAGTGATGCTCTTAACACTGAGAACACAAATTGCTTTATAGCAAGAACCTCTTAAACTATTTTAGGTGACAGGGGACTGATGAGGCTTCAAAGTCACCGTTAGCTGGAGGAAAGAAACCTCCAGAGAGCCAAATTGTTGATGTATTTGCATAGCAGTGAGTTAGTGGCTATTGTAGGGCTGCCCAAAATATGACATAAATAGACAGGGTGCCCTGATCACCAAGGTCTGAGCCTGCTCTCCTGGCTTTATTAGGCAGCAGGCTGCTGTCATTGCAGTTCCCCTGCAAAGCTTCTCCCAAGTGACCTCGGTGTCATTGGCCCTCGTGCTCTGGCTGTTGGTCACATGAAGATGACCGAGGAGAAGCTCCTCTCCAAAATTCACCTGCTCCTCAGCTTCCTGGTGTCCTTGCTGAAGCAGAGCTGGAAGAACAGAGGTGCTGTGTCTGTCTGAAGCACTGTGGGGAAGCCCCAGGAGCTCAGGCAGCTCCGAAGGGTTTGGAATGTGGCCACCACGAGTGTCTCCTACCCGAGGGATGTTTGCTTTTGTAACTGCCTGCTGGTTTCTTTAGGCAACGGGCTGGTTTTGACAGGCTGTTTTTGGCTGTGAGGTGCTGGATGCAGCTTGTGCTCCCAGCTCCTGTGGAGGTCCTGGGAGCTGCGTTTTGGGCCAGCCTAGGTGGTTTTTGCAAGAAGCAGCAGTCAGGCAGGGATGGGCTTTGCAAACTGTGAGGGGGGGGTTCCTGTTCTGCTGGAAAGCTTCATGTTGGCTTGTGAAAAGAGCCTTTTTAGCCCTGATTTTGCTCTTGGCTGCAGCTTATCGTGTACCGTGGATTTCTCTGGGGTGTACGTGCAAGATAAGAGTCACAGCAGGAGAACTGGAAGCAAACTCTGGAGACGTGCTGGGGGAAGACTTCTTGTTTATGTGGTGGTTGGTAGCACCCACATGGAAAACTTTCCTTTTGACTCCTCTTGACCTGCTCAAGAACTTTAAAATCCAGCCTGAATGGTGCCAAGAGGTGGATGCAACACAAAACATCAGTCAGGTTTTATAGTTCTGCAGAACTTTATCCGGGAGCAGAGGGAGAGCCAGGGCTGGGTTTGTCTTTGTCCTGATTTATTAGCAGTGCTGGTAAAGGGAAAGGTCTGAAGCTTTGTCTCAGCTATTTCCTAGGCTGTATGATGTATCATTTGCAGCCAGTTTACTTGGCCTGTTTGTCTGGAGTTCCTCATCTGCTTCCCATTCTGTTTGTAGAGATTTACTTCCTTCATGGTACAGAGGGGAATTCCCTTTTTGGTGTAATAGTGAGGTGTTTTTAAGGGGAATTAATATGATAGTTGTATAGGTTATCTGTCTACTCTGCTGCCCCCTTGTCCTCCCCATGGTGATTTTGGAACCAGGTTTGTGACAAGATGCTCTCTGCACTCCCCAGGCAGCACCTTGGTGCTGTGACCAGCCAGCAGAGAATCTCCTCTGGGTGGGCAGAGGCCACATCCACGTTTAATATCCCCAGGTATTAAACACCAGGTGTCAGAGACACACAGGAGCCAGACCACCTTGGTCCATGCAAAACACCTCCTTGGAAGGGGATGAAACTTTTTTTTTTTCCTGAAAATGTTCCATATCCCCCCCATGAGGGGCTGCCCCTTTCCAAGCAGGAGCTGCAGGGACATTCAGGTAGTTGCTGTGTCCTCTTCTGCAGCAATCTTGGGGAGCTGAGGAAGTCACCCTGGAGGTAACCACAGTTTTAACCACATGCACATCATCCCCAATATGCTGCTGCCATTTCACATTGGAGTCTGGTGGCTGGGACACCCAGACGTGAGGCTGAGCTGCTCAGCAGAAGTCTCAGCAGTCTTCTTTCTTCAACCTAGAGTTTAAAACTGAACCCAAAAGAGCAAAAAAAAACCACTTTCTCATCTGATTTTTTTTTGCCAACAGCCTTTTAATCATCCTAAGAGAATCGTGTTCTCCCTTGGGTAGTCTGGTGGCTGCCAGCTCCTCGTCAGCTGAGGAGATCAGGGCCACACAAAGATGAATTTGCTGGAGGTCTGGGGTGTTGCTTTGGGCTGGGACCCCCCGCACAGCACTAATAAATCACGTTTGCCACATCAGCAGCAGCAGCCAGCGTGGGTCTGAGCAGCTTTCCTCCGAGGAGTGGATAATCCAGATGACCTCAGGCTCTGTGGTCTGAGCTGGGAGTTCAGCTCAGCTTCGGGAGGAGCTCTGGGAAGATGCTGGTGCAGTAGCTGCTGCCTCGCTGGTGGGACCTCGCTGGAAGGAGACACGAAGGGCAAAGCCAGAGCCCTCAGCCCCTCGCTGCTGGCCACCTCTCTGGGCTGGAGGTCTCCCAGCAGGGTCTTGTTCATCTCCTGACCAGGTCTGTGCACGGGGAGCTGGGCTGCTTTGGCTTGTTTGAGGCACTGTGATACTTGGGTTGGAATCACGGTGCTCCCAGGTTAAAAACAAGAGTACAGCAGAATCTCTGGGTGCTTTTAGAGGCTCTTTGAATGGGGTGGTTTGCAAAGAGGGGAGTGACATCCCATTGAACCCCTCAGCAGGGGTGTGTGGGAGGGGATAGAGGAGGTTTGAGGCGGAAAAGCTCTATTCTGGTGTGGGACAAGGGTGGTGCCCTTAGGTCTGTGTCCTCCACAGAGCAACTTG